CAAGCAACTCGGACCACGGAACGTTTTTCAATTCTCTCGGCGCCACGAGTGCTGCAGCGGTATCGTAAACGGTGGCTCCGCAGTAGATTAGGAAATAGGATTTTTTCCGATGCTCTCCCGCATCCGACAGGCCGACCGCATCGATGTAATGATTGAAACGGTTCTTATACGATTCCCACTTCTCTTCGTCTGGTTTAAACGCCGGGAATACTGGATTGGAACTCATGGTGCTGGAACGGCTGAGCTACCTGCGGAAAAAATCTCTCTGGGACTACGAACGCTCGTGAGTTACTAGTGATATCAGCTCTGGAGAGGTTTTTTGCTACCCTCTCTTTCTCTCTCTCTGGGTTACCACGTTGGCTGCTAGCCGTTGGAGGTGTCTTGATTCGCGCCAAAAAAAGTGGGCGTTAGTGACTCTCTACAGCGCTGTGCTGTGATTCCTACTGGCTCGAAATTCAAATGACACCCGTTTGAATTTCGCGCCAAGTGCAGAGCGGCTGCGGCTCGCAGCGCTTCACTTTCCCCGTAGCGGGGCTAACAAGCGGCTACAGACGCTTCTAACTATTTGACTCAGACCGCTTTCTCTGGCTGCGGATCTGCGTTTGCTCTTTTTGATCACTCGTTTCGCTAGCTGACCGCTCTCTCTGGCTGCGGATCAGCGTTTCCCTTGTCGCCAGCCGATCGCTCTCTCTGGGCTGTAGATCGGTGGCTAGTGACTCAGCGGTTGCAAGGTGCTTCTGGTAGCCATCCCATCCTCGTCGCCAGTGTTAAGTTTGAGCAATGAGAGGCTGAACCAGAGCATGAGTGCAACAGTACTTTATTTTACAAATAAAGGGCTGACCGTGCTTGCCAAGCCTGGAACTGGCTCACAGCAATCAGCAGCCAGTTGGACCCCGTAGCCTGCTTTTATAGCTGGCTGCTGGGGAGAACCAACCAATGGGGAATGGGGAAATAACGCCCACACAAAGTGAGTGGACCTGAGTGAGAACTCCTTGAGTCCTCAGGACATAACAAAATGCCCTGCTAATATAGTTACTAATGACTCAAAAATGGATCACTAGTGGGACAAAGATCCAATTATAGGGATTGCCTATCTAACTTATGGGACATACAGGAAGTAAGGGTTGTAACTGGGGGAATGCTATCAATATTTGTTTGCAGATAAACCAAATGATATAACTTGGTGTGGTCAACTCACTGCTGCCAATTCGCCACCTCCAATTGCTTCTACCAACTCACTGTCACCAAGTCATTGCAGGTCACTCAATATGTCCAATTCACTATGAGAACTTACCGTGGGCAGCCAGAGGTAGAGCCAGATGGATGGGTGAGTGGGGGGGTAAAGCACAGAGCAGCAGCAGCCAGGGGCTTTCCCAGTAGAAGGAAAGCTGGGTGGGCAGAAGAATGAGCATGTGCGCAGAGCTCAAAGTGATGGCACCTGCAGCAGTGGCTTCCCATATTTATATACTTCATCACTGCAGCTGCTATGCTGAGCCCAAGGCCATTTGAAGTTGGCTGCAGTGGGCAGAATGGGTAGTGGGAAGCAGCAGAGGCCAGGAGCATCCCATTTTCACACACACATTCATGCCACTGCCACCATTACAGGCCATTCAGCAGCGGCAGTGTTCAAGGCTGTCCAGTAGTTGTGGTGGGCAGGACAGGTGGTACGGAGATGGTGGAAGTCAGGTACATTCCATTTTCACACACCTGCCACCAAACTGCTACTGCACTGAGTTCTTGGAGCTCAGCATAGCGACAGTAGTAGTGGGGGCATGAACATGGGATGCACCCAGCTGCTGCTGTCTCTCTGCCACCCCTGCACACTTCCAAATGGCCCAAACTCCAAACATCCTTGGTGCACCAGCAAGCAGTGGCAATAATAGCAGTGCTTGTGTGTGAAAATGGGATGCCCCTGGCCATCAGTGCTGCTATGCACTCTACCCACCCACTCACTTGCCTCGCTTTCCTCTAGTGGGAAGCCCTCAGCCACTGCTCTCTGGCTACCTGTTCCCTGTCCGTCCGGCTCTCCCTCTGGATGCCTGTAGCAAGTTGTCCCTGTGGCAAATTGACTGTGTTGAGTTGTCCTGCAATGACTTAGCGGCATGAGTTGGCAGAGGTGATGAGCTGGCAACAGTGAACTGGCTGAGCTGAGTTGGTCAGGCTGAGTTGTCCTAGATCCTCAAAAAGTCAGTCCTTTTTCTCAAAGAGTAATATAGCTGAAGTTATAATTGATTTTTTTTATTGTGTAATCTTCCTGGTGTGACAAATAATTAGTGGGGCTAAGAACATTTAAAATCCAAAATAAAATGTTCATTTTTTTTGTTGAAGAGAATCCAATTCTCTGAAGTAGATGTAAGTGTTGAATTACTGAAAAGTCTCTTTGTGCAACTTTGGTTACTTTAAGGCAATTTCTTTTTGCCTCATTAAGCCACGTTTGGTGTAAGGCACCCCACGTGCTTGGAATACGAGGTTTGGCTGAATGAACGCTAACTTCTATAATCTATTTATTCAGGATGGCCTTCCCTACTTGGTGGCTTTTGGCTGTGTTTGCTCATTTAGACAGAAGGCTGGCTTCGTCTGCCCCCACAGTTTTTTGGAGGGGGGAGAATGCCTACCTATATTAAAAAAAATCCACTTACTTACAAAGTAGGACTTGTGCAAGTTTTAAATGCTATATAAAATCCTACCACATAAAAAGGCAAAAAGGTTTGCATGGCTCATTTAACAAAGTCGATGTTAACATATGCTTTCTATTATATCCTGTAAATGTTTTGCTAACTGAACCTGAACAAAAGAAACCTTGCTGTTGCCAATTTTGAACAGAAATGCATTTAAGTTAGACTTTTCACACCAGTGTCATGTTTCAGTAATTTGTTTCAATCTGGAGAGAGATATGGATTTCTTTCATCTTGTTTCATTTATCCCCATGTTCTACTTTTCTGTTTCTATCTGATTTCCTTCTCCATCAGAGTATATTTAAAATAAATTAGGCTAAAACACAAAGCAGATCGGTCCTATAATATTCAATGTATACAGAGGTATCTGGACACAGAAGATTGATTTAAGGCTTTTCGACATGTTCCTTAAAGATTTGTACTAGATGAAGTCAAATTAATACAAAGTTATTTACTACTGGGACCAGGTTCATACAAATCGCTAACCATTAATCATAATTTATTAATTAGAACGGTTGAGGTACATTACAATACAAAACCCACCTACACAATTACATGTTTTACTGCAAGAAGATTTTATCTTGAAGCTCTTGTGGCTGTAAGTAAAATTCATAGCAGAACAGTCTTTTTAGTTGTGCTTAGTTTGCACCCTCTATGTCTTAGATCGGAGTTTCACAACACTGGCAACTTTCATTTCAGCTTTCAACTCCCAGGATTCCTCAACCAGCAAGGCTTTATTTTAGAATAACAATTTGAAAACATAGTGGGGGAATCAAATGTTTGGGAACAGATAAAATATAAGCAACCTAAAACAGCCCCCATGCATGCTTCTGCAGGAATTGTTTATCATTTTTGAAATGGAAGGCATGTATGAATTGGTTTCTTGAAAAAGGAGGATAAATCCCTATTTCCAGAGATATGAATTTATTTCCTTGCAGACAGCTTCTGCTATTTACTTCAAGAACATTTAATTGCTGAAAATCCAGATGCAGGCAAACTGGCAATAAAGATGTACACAACCCCATCATAGACACATCCAGTATACTACTGCAAATAAACTGACAGTGAGCTCAGCAAAGACCCATCAAGATATGGAAAACCACTTCTAGACTTAGTGCTTCATACCTTAGTGCTTCATACCTGAACATTTTATTGTAGGTTGTGATGGTTAATTTTGTTGTTATAGAAGTGGCTTGTATCTATCAGAAATGTAAAGCAAAAAGTTGAGGATGTTACTATACTTTGTATTCTACGACACCAAAAACAGCCAGAAGCCACTTTTTTCTGTTTCTTTACACTTCTTTTCCCTTTAGCCCTCTTTCCCCTCTTCCCCTCTGAATTTAATTTTTATTTGTATTTTATATTACAATAACTCTGTTTTATAAAGGTATATGTGATATATGTTCCACACAGAGACGTGCAATCGTTATTCCAAGAATTAAACAAAGTTGCCCTTGTCAAACTTCCCTTTTTTGGTTGGTACCTTGTGATTGTTTGAATTTCTGTATCTCAGGATTAGTAGCTCAAAATTGGGCCTTGAATTGTTATTTTTCTTTTCTTTCTTTCTTTTGTTGCATATGGGAGATAGGACACCTGATATTTTTGCAGGACTACGTGTCATATTTTCCATCCTGACCTATACAAATACATCATGAGGCTTAGTTATATCTTTCACCAGCATAATACATGCCATACAAATATTCACAGAACTATGTCATAGTTTAAAAATGCGTATGTATGACTTTTGACAATTAACACATCTGTATTTCCAATATATATTCTATCCTTATTACAAATTTTCTGATTTTCCTTGGATCTAAAAAAGAAATCTCCAAACCCTAGAACATCCATATTCTTTTCTATTGGATTAGAACAGCTACACAATTATAAACATAGGTGATGTAGCACACAGCTGTTCAACCGTTTATTTTGGCCAGCATTGTTCCAATATAGAAACAATTGCTTTAGAATTCTTTTCTATGCAGTCTGTCCCTTTTTAATAAACTGATCTACAGCTTTTCCTTAATAACCACCCTCCCCTCAGGTTTTCAAAAAACAAAACAAAAAACCACACCCTTACCATCATAAATTAAATTAAATTGGATTGTTAATTCTATCCTAGTTGAATAGTGTCTATACATGTGTTCAGTTGTTATGTTCTAACTGGCAGGTATGCCAATACACTCTGTACTTCACCAAACTTCCCCTTCCTTCTGGAATTATATATGTATTTATGTATGTATACCTTTGAGTCAATGTTGACTCTTGCCAAATCCCTGCAGTTTTCTGGCAAGATTTGCCTTGTTCATAGGGTTGACAGAGAGTAATGGCCTAAGGTCACCAAACTGGCTGTATGCCTAAACTGGGACTAGGATTCATCATCTTCCAGTTTCTAGACTGATACCTTAAACACAATATCAAACTGGCTCTACTGGAATTATTACTTTCCTCTTTGTCAATGTCACCAATTGGTCAATATCATTTATATAAAGTGGTAGCAAGGAAGAGAAGAACTATTGTTTTATACTGACACCACTCTAAAACTGTACTGGTTCACCTTTAAAATATTTCAGCTTTATACTAAATCCTCTCTCTCTTTCCTCTTTTTAGATGGTTGTGGTCCTTTATATGGAGCTGAAAGTCTTGGGGTGTTTGGCAGAAAGGTGAAATTGACTACAAATTATGGAGAAAGCTCTTGAAAAAAAGTGTTGTGAACTATTTATCTTTTATTTTCTGGGTACATCAACTCTCCATCTCTATAAGCAATGAGATATATGTCATCTTTTTTTTAGGTGGGTACGTTGCAGTTTTTTACAGGGGTGAACAAGATACGTGGGAAAACTGATGAGCCATCTGTGCAAGTAAACCTTATTTATATATTTATTTGTCAAATTCCCATGCATGCAAATCACTTAGAATTTCAGAAAGGACAAGGAGTTATCCAACTGGCTATTGAAACATCCTTTAACTTGTATTAAAGTAAAACTGCTATTCTACTTACAGCCTGAAATAGATGTCCAACAATTTGGTGCAACTAAATTAATACACCTAGAAACAACTTCAGTAGCTGATATAAGAAGTGATAATAGATAAAGCATTCCTTTACCTGAGGCCTTCCAGATATTTAGCATTACAACTTTCAGAGCTTTCAGCCAGAGATCATATTGATGGGAAGTTATGGGAATAGTAATCCCAACATACTTAGGGGGCACCAAGATATAAATCTGTTGCTTTCAGAGTCCAATGTTTCTAGCTCTCTGGGGTTGATAGGATGGTTTAAAATGCTAATAGAATAAACATATCAAATGATTCATAATGCCATGAACCATTACTTATTTATTTTTATTTATTTGATTTGTCAATTGCTTACAAGGTAATAGATATAAGTATAAACATGAGTAAGAATACAGGAAATAGGTAAGAATAAATGGGGACAATAGGACAAGGACAGTAGGCACGATGGTGCACTTATGCACGCCCCTTAAATATTATTAAATATAAAGGGAATACAATGGCAAGATTTCTTGGAAAACATGTAGAAACAATCAGTAATCAGATATTCAGCCACAGCAGTTGTTTGAAACTTTTAACTTAAATATAAGAACAAAATATTCTTCTCTCCTTTTTGTATTTGTGCTCTCAGGTCTGGTTGCCATACAGGAATAAAGGCCGCATTTAGTCTCATTGAGTAAAGCCAAGAATGGAGTAAAAGTCCAAGTCAGCAGGGATTTCTGTATATAGGTAGGTATCAGACATTTATATGAACTGTACAAGCTGTACATATTGGCTAAGGAGTACATTAATTTAATCTAATTTTCCACATCATTATATGAAATGTTGCCTACATAGCACATCTGTGTGCTTTCCCTATAGCCATATCTGACAGGGTCAGTTATACTGACCATTCTAAGCATGGGTGATAATATATCATTACTGAGTCTAGAAATGCAGTGCTTTTATTACTTGCCACCTGTTTTGTTTTGAGAGTGCCCCTTGATCTTGAAAAGGTTTTATAAGAGGATGGTCCTTAAATTAAACTAAGTGAACTACTTGCTGCAAGTAGATGTTCAAATGGAGGTGATGACACTGAGATGCCGGGTAAGAAGGCCAGAACTCTACATACCAATTGGTCTAATCTAATCTTGCTATCCAGGATAAATGGAGAATGTTATTTCATCCTGTACCGATATAAGATTTTCACTTCCGGCCTCTCTGGCTTCTCTTTACAGAACTGAGAAAGGGAAGCATAATTTTATCCTTTGCAGCTGGGGCAAAATATCTTGAGTCCACATGCAATAATTTTGCTGTAGCTATGCCTTCCAGGGCAAAGGAATGTTGCAGGAATTTAGCTTGTTTTTGAGTTGTTGGGAAACAGAGCTTCTTCTGTGAATAAAAGGAACAAGTACTTGAGCTGCTATAATCACAGTGAAAAGTCACTATAAACAAGAGCAAGGTTCTCCAGGAAATACTTTCACTGAAAGACGTCAAAAAGTTCTCAGAGAAACCAACTGTGAATCCAAATATTTGCCCAGGGATTAAAGGCAGCCTTCTTTGTTTCAGGATTGTCTAATAAAAGAATAAGTGACACCTGGTAATAACTAACAATATTTAGTATTTAGATATGTTTTCAAATGTTGAAATTACTCCCCAGATATTGCTTAACTTGGCCAACAAAGAAGAGAACAGCTGCCTCTTCGTGGTGTTGTCTTTTTCCCACCTTCAGTAAAGCAATGTATGAATTGTTCCTCAATAATCAAGATTAATGCCAGCAGCAGTAAAGAAACATAAGAAAGGAAAACTGTAACCTTGATTGTTATCCATCAGTTTAGACAAGTACAATGCATAATGTCTGCATAACTTCCATGTGATTTGAGTAAGACTGATAATGAAATGCTAAATGAACTTTTGGGAGCTATTTATACAACCACCCAAGGAACTTGTTTATACTGATTCTCATCCAGCAGGAGTGCCAGTATGAAAAGGAAAAACAAATGGATATCATAGCTCTGATGAATCTGGGACAGAATAGGTGCAGACTGAAACTATTTCTCTTATATATACAGAAACAGAATATTGGGCAATCCATTATTTACAGAGAATGGCAGTTGCCCTCCATGATTTACAGGAAAAGTCCCCTTTTCACTTCCTTGGATTTGAACTTGCAACTTTCTAGATGCAAGGCATGTGCAATATAATGAATTATTGGCCATAGATTCATATTGTGTAGACACGTCCAAATATTCCTGTCTAAATAAAATAGCTGGTAATGTCAATCAATGCAAAGACTACTTCTCTATGCATACAGTCCAAAATATGGAGATTATAAGATCGTATGTATATTTCAGGGTCATAGTTAATGAGTGGAGGGTGTACTTGTGCTTTCAGCTTTGTAGTTCATAATCTCTTTGTCCTTCTGAAAATAGCACCCTACACTATAATCAAACTCTGCTGTTCAGTCAGGTTGAAAAAACTAGAAGGTTTGCAAAAAAAAATTGCAATTTATTTTTCTATAATTTTGCAGCTATCTTGTATTCCATGGAACTACATTCTGATAGAGTTTCTCCCGATGAGTAATAACTTTCTTCAAAACCTTTGCTACTGCAATCAATAAATGTAGTAAGGAAAGTAATTAATGGAAGGATCGCTAGTGTTTAAGACCATAATTTACTGTTGACTTTAAAATAAAATGCATCATAGGGTTATGGCAAGCTTTGTTTCATAGTAAGAACAAGATTTTTTTTTTTGCATGAGTTGCAGAATGGGGAAATCATCCTAAAAGATAGGACAGGAATAGAATATTCTTGAAATGACAGAAAACTAAAAAGGTATGAAATTTCTTTTCATAATTGCCAATCCCTATGCAACCTCATCGCCTCTCCAAGGTAATGAGTGGCAAAGGCTTGCATATTTCATATATTTTAAGGGTGCTCCTGTGGAAATACTGCTTTAAGTTTAAGACTAGCATAGCAAAGAACAATTGAAATGTCTCACTTATATGGGAATCAGACAAGGGGGGGGAGGGATATCTAAAATGAATAAAAATTGTGACTGTTTTGTGAACAGCTGCTTAGAATAGTTCTGTTTGTTTCAAGCACACTGTTTAAGCATGTCATTCATACATATAGGTGTCAAAAGAATGAATATAAATAATCATGATTGATGTTATTGTTCATGATATAAGATTCAGATAATTAAAGATACAAGAATGATGAGAACTATGAAAGTGGGACAAGTAATGTTTGGTAATGTCAGGAGTGTTTTGTTGGCTATAAAAAATAAAGAATAAAGCAGAATGGCTGCAGAAAGAGATGGTACCTCCCAATTTTACAGTGTAGAATTAACAGGAAACCTATAATGTTAGTGTCCAGGTAAAATAGGGATTATCAGGATGTACCTGATTGTAAGTAGTATCACTGCAGAAATATTAAATTATGGATATGATTTCCTTATAGAATGGTTAAGCAACTTGTTTAATATGCATTTGTGTCTGATGATTGAAAGAATCCTATTATTCCCTTATACAAGAAAATAGTTGACAGCAGTTAATTCAGAAACTATTATACAAAGTCATTAGTTTGCCTAAAAAATATTTGGCAGAAAAATAATTGAAAAATTACAGGAGTTGGCAACAGGGCAGGCAATATTTGGAAAATGAAATTTAGCTTTGTGCCAAGCAGATGTGCAGCCTAATTTAATACTTTTCCAGGTGCACAATCCAGATTTTTATACTGAGAATTACAAGAACATGAGAAACAAAATTTATTGGGCATATGTTAATGTACTGCTTGGTGACCAGGCAGGGAGAAGGAGGGGATGGTTTTGTATGGGTGGACAGCCTGGCACGCGCACAAGCAGCTCCATCGGTGTAAATGGCAGGCACATGCACACACCGCTTGCACAAATGGACCTTTGTGCACAAGTGAGTACACCCAGCACTCATGCAAGTGGAGCTGTGAGCATGCGCTCACTCGCCTCTCATGTGGCCCGGTTCCAAATGGGCCAAGGTCCGATAGTGGGTGGTAGCCTGGGGCTTGATATGTATGTATGTATGTATGTATGTATGTATGTAAATAATGGCATGCTTATAAAATGTTTCAACACTAATCAGGCTCTAAGACTAGTATGTGTGTCCTATATAAATGTATATGCAGCATTTATGGTGACATTAGAGGTGTATTGGTTATGAACATAAGTATGCATGTTGTTTATTTTAAATATAAATTATTGGCAGTGAATATGAGATATATTATGCTACAAGATGTATGGACTTTTAAAAAAAATATTTATCATTAGACTTCTGTGCTGTCCATCTCGGAAAGGTGATTAATGGATGGTATATGGTTTGCTGTAAAGTATGAATTTTTATCCAAGCATCAAATTTAGGTGTGTAAATAATTTTACCCAAGCATCAAATTTAGGTGTGTATAATAATTTTCTGTGTACTTTGGTATAGTGAAAGGTGGTTATGTCAGAAGAAACATTGCTGACTGTAGTGGGAATGAATTGCTTAAGAAAATGATAACACAGTAAAATGTAAAATAAGAGCAGGCAAGTTCAGAAACAGAATAAATGAACTTATATAGACTAAGTACAAAGAGTGATTACTATAAAATCAGAATGAGGGTTAATTACTAACAATGATATGAATCATTGTGAATGGGCTGAGATTGAGTGAGTCATAATTGGGTGGCATTGATAAGATCCACAAAGAGATGCGTTGAAAGAGAAAAGGTAATATATGAATGAGTGCATGGATACTGTAGAAACAAAAACGGACAAAAAAGTATTGAACAGTACCTTAAACAAATTAAGTTTAATTCTATTTCTCTATTTCAACATTATTTTCTTTGATTTATTATTTTTTTCTCCTTATCTGTGGTTTGCATAATTTGCCCACTGCTAAAGGAAACAATGTAATGGATATGTTTCTTTGCATATAAGTACTTCATCTCGATTTATTGTCCAATCTATTTAATACCTATCGGAAAATATCATTAGCTTTTTACTTACATTGTGTAAATCTTAAGAGTTGGACTTACTATGATTGATTTTATTAGAATGAAAATGAAGAAAGTCGTTCTTTTTCTCTAACTTTTCATTTTGATATGTATGGCCAAAAACGAATGCTGGATATTACTTCAAGGTCTAAAGAAGATGGGACATTTCAAATTTCCACTAAAAGAACTCCAGTTAGCACCATGCTATTTGGTATAATTGTCAATGTGTAAAATATCATTAACAATAAATTCCAGAAATATAATATTAACAGTTGGCTTTCAAGACATCCTGGCAGCCCTATGCTGTTTCCTGCTTTAGAGATTGAATTCAATATCTGACAGTGAAAGTTACCATTTTAAAATTTCACTATAGTGAAAATGAGTCCAAGCATAGGTGTGCAATAAACAACTTCTGAAATGAGCAAGGGGTTCTTGTTCACATTATGAACAACAATCTCTAAGCTCCAAACGTAAATAATAGAAAAGATGCTTAGTGATTTTAATACTGTAAATCCCATCTATTAAATATGAAGGCTATATATAATAGAAGTGCACACAGGCATTAAATAGAAAGTCAATATTTTCAGTCAAAATTTTACAGTATTATGCTGTATTTTGTTGTTATGTGAGGCAACAACCTGGTAAATACTCAGAATTACCCTTCAGCCCAAAATAGCTAAAACTAACCAAGATCTTGCTGTTCTTGGTTATTGTGGGTAAACAAAACCCAAGCTTGCAACATAAAAGCCAACTTTCAAATGAATTCATTTTTTGTCTAAGTCTCTTAACCCTTCTAGACTATTTCTGAAAGTCTTCTTTCAAAGTGTGCTAGTTTTTGTATTGCATGCCCTATGCCAAAGATTCCCCATCATTTTTTTTTCACCATGTCATTACCATATTTTTTCCCCATTTAATTCTTGGATGTCAGTATGTTGCTAAATGATCAGGAGACAGGCAGTTAGAAAACTTGCAGTGCACTTTTCTTTGCCCAAACACATTGCTGTACATAGAATAAATGATGACAAAGTGAAAACAGTAGATGGTATTAGGCTTTGTCTTTATACACTGAGATCTTTCAGGTGGTATCCTTTCATCACAAGGTGTCAAGCTTTCTCTGCCTGAGGCTCTTGTTCTTTCTATTCACCTAATTGAATGGAATCACTGAAAATAATGGCAAAATGCTGATAATTTTCATTTCTTTTGGACTTTGCCAAAGACACCCAAATGTCATATAGAAATAAGTCAACATTGGTAAAAAAAAATATTCATCTGGTTTCATTTCATAGTATAAATGCTGTTGTAACTTGAAAAATTATCTTCACAGCATCATCCATTGATAAAGGATTAACAAGGGACTTCTCTGCTAAAATGAATGAATATATTTAGCATAGAGTTTTATAAAACAAATTCCACTCGTTTTGAACTTCCATATATCAGAGGACTTTTCTGGGGTTACACTTGTCACATTTGAGCAACATGCCAAGTTCCACACTCCCAAAGTAATTGATAATGTTATCTACATGTCATTAAGTATAGTTTATGAGTACTGTCCAGTTAAGTACTGCATAACTTCCTCTTCTGTGACATGAAACATTACAAATTGACAATATATGGAGGTTTTCAGGGCAGAATAAAGTCTTATGGACCAATATACGAGTCTCATGCACTATCTTACACACCTTCACTGCCTGACTAACCAAAAAAATGTTGAATTGGATGTTGCTTACTTCCAAGTAACAGTACATAGTAGTCTACTACTACTGGTAGCTACTCAAAATTGGCATCAGTATAGCCAGCTATGGAAAAAGGAAAAAACTGTTTCTGAATAGTACATAAAAAAAAAACATGGACTTCAAAGATATCACACTAATCAGCAAGGAAGAGATAGCTTCTGTTGAGAGAACCAAAAGATCACCATCTGTCAGACCAAATAGAATCAGCACATACAGCAGATCAGTAGCAATTGTGACCAATGAAATGCTTGTGAACTGTACAAAAAAGGCCAATAGATATTTAGCAATAGCAACATCTCCCAAGCCTAGTTTGATACACAACTTCACTTC